CCTTTCTTCCTGATCATATTCACAACTTTCCCTATTCTCCAACGGGGTGACAGACTAGGTTGGTTCGGTATCCAGAATTGAGGTGCATACACGCTATCTCGACCTATGGGGCTTCCATACAGATTTCAAGCCGAGGACGCGCCTCTGGGTATTTAAACCAGACTTTAGTCTCGGAAATCCCGAACCTTTGCATTCTAGGCAACAGCCATTCGAACTCTAGTTTCCACCGTCGCAGTTGGTCTCCTAGGAACTCATTGCAAACATAGCCAAGGTGCCTCTGGCAGGGAATGGTACTCAGGGAGAGCACATTTGATCGCCATTCTGGCTTGAAGCAGACTTGATCTCGAGCTTGAGGCAGAGGCACACTCATACTTCGGAGCATTGGCAAGACCTGAAGAGGTACACGCGGAATGTAGTCTCGGAACTTACCGAAGTTGAAACAAACTCAGATACCCGACATTTTCCCCCCTTTTCTTTTGCTTTGCAGTCTGGAACCCATATATTTTCAGATAGGTCCTGGTTTTACTGTTCCCACATGACTTGGGTTGAACCCTGCAGTTTTTATGAAAGAACAAATCTTGTTTTGCACAGATGTGGAGAACGGCACGGTACTCTAAGCACAAAACGATTCATTTTTGAAATTGAGAATAAGTTCTCGACCAAGTATTGAGCCTACGACTGAACACAGCAAAACGACTCAACAAGGAAATAAAAGGCACACAACCTAGACACATCGAGTAACACTCGAAACGACTCAAAACAAGAATCAAGATAAAACAAAAAGACACGACACTTAGACGTGCACAAGGAGCCTGTTTCACTGGGTAGTGTTTCCCTGTTTCTCATTTGTGGTTCTCATATCACTCGGCCCTCAAGCTCTGTTTTTCTGAAAAAGCCCTCTTCTCACTTTTCCTCTCATCAGACATCTCTCTATTCTTCAATCTTTCATTTTTCATCCCTCCCCTGGGTGGTTGATGGATAAACAGCAAATTCTGGGCTTGTGCCCCTAGCATTCTGCTAGATTCTCTTTCTTCTGCTCACAGCTAGTGAATTCCTCCCATGGAAAGGTTGCGCTACAACTGGGTGTGTAGCAAATCTGCAGCTAACATCAGTTGATGATGCTTTGCTGGGGAGTTTGGACGTGATAAGATCTGTCCAGATGATGGAGTGGAATATCTTGCCCCATTCTAGTTCGTGCTTCGCACTTTACTTGATACCTTGTTGCTTGGAGGATGTGAGAGCTTTCTTCCCTTCGTTGTGCCTTTTTCTGGCGAATACGGTGCCCTTTCCGACAAGTAGAGTGCACTTTCTGGCAAGTATTTTGACAAAGGGGAAAAGACAGAACACCTGACTCAACTGTGCCCCTAGTTCATCATTTTTACCATTTTTTGTTTTTTGCTTTCTACTAAAACAGTTTTGACCAACATGAGAGTTAGATTGACGCGCTTGTTCGATTTTCTGATTTAAAATCATGCAAGTTAGGCTATGAGCACTGAGAGTTTTCCTTTTTTGGGTCCAAGAAATGGTCCAGTTTTGAAAAATGGAGTACTTTTCGAGAAGATTAGTCAACCCCAGTAAATATTCTCAAAAACTATTTTTGCAAACGACCACTGCTCAACGAGCACGGAACCTACTCTTGAGAGGCACAACCTTGGACCCATAGCAATGGAAAATTGCCCCTTGTCTGAAGGACACTGCATGGCAACGGAAAGTTGCCCCTTGTTTGAAATGAACCGCAGCGCATTGAATGGCAACGGAAAGTTGCCCCTTGTTTGGATAGCACCGCAGCGCTTTTGAATGGCAACGGAAAGTTGCCCCTTGTTTGAAATGACACTGCGGCGTTTTGAATGGCAACGGAAAGTTGCCCCTTGTTTGAAATGACACTGCGGCGTTTTGAATGGCAACGGAAAGTTGCCCCTTGTTTGAAATAACACTGAGCGCATTGTAGTCAGTCCTCAGAGCGACGAACACAACCAAAAT